TTCTCAGGAAGCTGAGAAATGGAAGCTAAGAAACAGAGAGAAATGGACCGGTCTGTGCTGATTTGGTTGTGTCCTTGGACAAGATACTTAACTTTTATTGCTCTGGTAGGCATGTGACAAGCCTCCTGTATGTTGTTCAGTAAGGTATCCACCAGCTACTACAATCCTGCCTCAAATGACCGTTGCTCTTCCTTGAATGGTAAACCCAGCAAACCAAAGTATTCATTACATGTGATAATTAATGTATGGTACTATTTATATTTCATTTTCAAATAAACTTTTATTGTTGTAATATACATATCAGGGCTCTCACACCCCATTTTGGGACTGGGGCCTGGGGGCCTTTGAATTGGGAAAAATAATGGTGTTTTCCTTAGAATTGGGAAAACTTGGGGTCTAATTTGGGAAAAAAAGATACTATTTTGCATTGGGAATTCGGCCCCAAATCTGGCAGATCAGGAGCCCTGCATATACATGTATTACCACTATAAAGTTTTTCCAATTCTGTCCATTTTCATCCCCTAGGATTCTCAAATTTGTATTCTTAAAGCTCTACTTTGAAGATATTAGCTATTGTAGGCACCTTTTATTGTCCTTATTGTATGCTTTGTTCTTCTTGAAATGCTTATGTATAATTGTAGTGAAGACAAACTGATATGGTTAATGATCACCAATCACCCTCAATACCTGCCGTTGTCCTCAACTTGAATACTTTTCAGTCACACTTTGATTTCTGTTGTGTCAGCGAATTGTTGATCATTCTCAATGACACAGTATTCGTCCCAGTTTTTCCCTTTCCAAGGATATCATTGTTAGATTCACTAACTTTCCAGGCTCCTGTATATACACCCTTATTACCTGTAGTATTGCAAGATAAAATCTATTTTTGACCATCATTGTACATGTTTGGAGTTTATCTCAGTGATATAAGAAGACTAGGACACTGTTAACATACATCACATACATAATAATTACTTTTTTTGCCCTGTACCATCAAAGATGATTAATCCCAGATCCATATATATTCTCTGATATCGATCCCATCCACATTGACCCTTTAGCTGTTTGTTCTATATATAATCATATACAATTAGAGCATCCTTCGATTTCAATAACACCTATGAATTAATAAATTCTTCATTAGAGATGATTGTTCATAAAGGTAGTACTGCCATTCTGTATTTCTCAGTGTTTCTAAAGTCCAAGACTTACCTATCTGTATTTTTCATTAGGATTAAAGATAACACATGAAAAATTTTGCCAAGAGAAAATGAGATATATAGGAAGCACACCCACACTCACTCACACACACACGCACACACACACACACACACACACACACACACGCACACACACACACACACACACACACACACACACACACACACACACACACACACACACACACACACACACACACACACACACACACCCCACCCCCACCCGGTACAAGTCTATGGTTTATCTCAGGATCTGTTGAGTATCACATGGTGAGATCTGTATCATGGTCAATATGCATAATAACACATTATCACACCCTAGAACATGTACATAACAAATGAATATTGGTGTGGCATGGCATACAGTATTTATATTTAAGCATTGAACTGTTAAGGTGCAGTGATGTTGCTTACTTGCACAGCATTGTCATGTATACAATCAATGCCTTGACGAGAGAGTTCAATGCTTATATTCTCTGGGCATGTTGTTGTGTTTAACAGATTATAATTTGATTTAAACCAATATAAATGACTTGGTATTGACAGTGTAATCAGTCAAGTGGAACAGCCATTCTGACAGTGAATTGTCACTGTGTCTATCATACATACAATACTGACATCATTATGGTTATCCCTTGGGTGTCATATATGGTTCCTTAAGTAACACTTCTTTCTGGTTTATTTATATTGTGGGAAATGTAAATATATTTCATATATGTATACATATATATTAGAATAACTTAAAAAAACATGTCAAATTAAGTATTATTATTATGTCATGGACATTGTATCCAGGCAATTTATTAAGCATCATGAAGATTCAGAAATGAAAGCGCTAATGCTTAATTTGACGTGTGGTTTTAAGTTATTCTAAGATATTTCACTGGACACTGAGAATTCAACTTTTATATTTGAATATATATATCTACAGAAGGAATGTATATATTGTATGAAATGTGATAGTGTGTATACCTCCCAAGGCCACCACTTTCACATTAAAATTGTACTTGCTTGGGTAGTAGGTTGAAAACAGATGGAATGAAACAGACTATAGCTCTGAACTCATTAAAATCGTACTCGGCTAACACACTGAAAATAGCTCACATAAAACAGACTATAGCTCTGAACTCATTAAAATCGTACTCGGCTAACAAACTGAAAATAGCTCACATAAAACAGACTATAGCTCTGAACTCATTAAAATCGTACTCGGCTAACAAACTGAAAATAGCTCACATAAAACAGACTATAGATCTGAACTCATTAAAATTGTATTCGGCTAACAAACTGAAAATAGCTCACATAAAACAGACTATAGGCTCTGAACTCATTAAAATCTGATTAAAATCGTACTCGGCTAACAAACTGAAAATAGCTCACATAAAACAGACTATAGCTCTGAACTCATTAAAATCGTACTCGGCTAACAAACTGAAAATAGCTCACATAAAACAGACTATAGCTCTGAACTCATTAAAATTGTACTCGGCTAACAAACTGAAAATAGCTCACATAAAACAGACTATAGCTCTGAACTCATGAAAGTCGTACTCGGCTAACAAACTGAAAATAGCTCACATAAAACAGACTATAGCTCTGAACTCATTAAAATTGTACTCGGCTAACAAACTGAAAATAGCTCACATAAAACAGACTATAGCTCTGAACTCATTAAAATTGTACTCGGCTAACAAACTGAAAATAGCTCACATAAAACAGACTATGGCTCTGAACTCATTAAAATTGTATTCGGCTAACAAACTGAAAATAGCTCACATAAAACAGACTATAGCCGTAAACATTTATAACACATCCATGTAGTTTTGTATTGATTTCTCCAGAAGATCAATATAGGAGACGAGGACCAACATGATCATTTAGATTAATTAAATCATTGGACATTCAGAAGACAAAAAAGGACAGGTACATGTTCAATTTAGTATATAGACATTTTGAAATGAATAAAGGAAAGAAAGTTATGTGTGAATTGTTTTCAATCTGTTTAGTCAATATGAACATAATACATAATGTTGAACAATAGAAATCATTGCTGAAACCTCCCACCTTTTCCTATATGGAAATGAAACATCAATAATTCAACAATTCATTTAATCATACGATGAATTTCAAATTGGACTCAGGATATCCTGGTAGATGAGTTGATAATGGCTAGTTTGATGATGGATTATCCCTTACCCAGCAAATGTGGTCGTGGATATGACAACATAGAATCAGGATATGTATGGATAGATTTTCAAAATATTACTAATAGTTAAATAAAAAAAGAAATAAGGACATGGTGTTATTGTGAGAGTAAATACATGTAGGTCAGGAATAAAAAAAACCAGGAAGCAACCTTAGATGTAGTAAATAGAGAAATGGGATCGGCACCATTATGATAATTGGTAGTACAGGAACTGTGAACCTTCAGTGAAGAACGAACATTTGTTTACTTCATGGCTGTCCATCTCATGAGGAAAAGTCACAGCCATATTATTTAATTAACAAATACAAATAGTAATTTGGTGATTTGTTAGGTATTCCAAACTTTTATTAAAAAGGTATAGTAGAGACAAACAGAGGGGGAAAAGGTGGAGAAGGCTGCACTTTGAGAGAGCAAGAAAAGAGCTGACAAGGAAGGCAGACAATATACTGTAAAATCATGTATTTTTGTGGGGCTCAATTTTTGTGTTTTTTGTAGAAACTTTTCCAAGGACACTTGATTTCATCGATAAATATAGCTCAATAAATCTTCTTATACATATTTTAAAAGTTTGTCGACAGATTAATTGACATATTAAGAGTACCCATGAAATTCATGAAAATGAACTAAAATTAACGAAAATTATTTTGCTGTATAGAGGATAAGTCTTTTGATGACAATAACATTCATGTTTCATCAAGTGGGATGGAAAATTTGATTTTTTTTGTAGTGCACAGCACAAGTGAAAAATATCAAAGTTTTCCGCCCTGCAAGGTGAAATATGATATTAATTCACCAAGAAACATTTTTTCACAGCTTTCATTGATGCCACGTACAACCAGCTTGGATTTGCCACTCTGTCTCTATCCTGTGTGTAAGCTCTAGTTTCATATGTAAGATCATCTAAATTAAATACTGGGTAAAGACAACACATTCCTAGGGCTTTCTACTCCAGAATTATTGTCATTTCTGAAGTTTGTGACTCTGGAAGAATTGATACTTTCACTGCAAATGTTAAGGTTGGGCAAAAGTTAGTGAAAATACCAAACCTTGTTATTTTTAATAAAGCCTTGTATGATTAGGGTTTGCTCTGGATATTATCTAAAATTCTGTCAAAGATAATTATTATTACTTGAAGGCATGTCCTTAAATATAAATGAAATGACTTTTTGTCCAATCTACCTTCATATAAAAGGTCAACTCTTTGAAGTATGACTATCCTAACTGTTGACATTTGTCTCGTTAATGTGCTGTACAGTAAGAGGACCATATAGCTATACTAGGCCCTATTACCTAGTCAGAATGATGTTGATACATCAGATGACCTTTTCTCTGGAGCCCATAAGAATCTGATTGATCTGTTTACCTTCCATATTTATACACAGGCTCTGAGGAGCTATTCTTTGGCATTTGTTGGCAATTGATGTAAATCAATATGAAAACCATTTTTTCTGTCTTTTCCTACAGGGAATAATGGCTGACATTTACAACACAGCTGTAGACAGCTCAAGAAGATAATCAACATGTGAATTATTTATCTATGAAAAAGAATATGGCCCGTGAGGGCATAAAAGGCTTAAATATCATTCAAAAAGTTTGGTGAAAAAAGGACAATGAAATTTCATAATGTCCATGGCACTGGTGTTTCACTGCTAGAGAACAAGACTGTGGCCACCCGATCAGATACCTCATTCTGCAACGGCATTGTGTTCAGTGACCTGCCTGTCAAGGTCAACCAGAAAGTGTGTCTAGAGCTGACCACTGTCCAGACCTGGAGTGGTGCCCTTAGAGTTGGACTGACCTGTCAAGATCCTGGTAAGATTAGTGCAGCTGATCTTCCACGATATGCCTTGCCTAACCTGGCCAAAAAGGAAGGATACTGGATCCAGCCAATCAGTGAGTGCTTTGTGGATACAGGGTCACATTTGACCTTGTATCTCAGTTCACAAGGTCAGCTACAGCTGTTCGTAGATGGATTACACAAGGGTGCCTGTCTTCAAGGCCTTCCAACTGACCGTAATGTATGGCTGTGTCTTGATGTCTACGGAAACACCAAAAGTGCCAAATGGGTAAAACCAGGTGAGTAACATACATATGTACAGTAATACTTTTTCAACAGATATGAAGATTTAGTTTTGAAACCTGCTCTGAATATACAAGAGATTGAAATATGTGATGAATTCAAAAGGAATATTTACAAAAATCTATATGGTTATGTAAGTGACTGCTTATCATTAGATCATTGCAATAAGATAATTTTTATAGTTGGGCTACATATTGGTCGAAAGGTTTGTCATTGGGATATAAGATGTATGTTTCATCCATATTTTTGCAGAGATCTTTAAAGATGCCATCTACACAGGGATAGTTTCATTTTGACAAAAGAATATCAAAATTGCATCAAGAAAAATTATGAAATACCCAAACTTTTCTTATTGTATGTAGTTCCTTATAAGTTTGATGGTGTTGATGGTCCAGTGTGGTGTATCTATAGATGGTAGAGGATGGTCCAGTGTGGTGTATCTATAGATGGTAGAGGATGGTCCAGTGTGGTGTATCTATAGATGGTAGTGGATGGTCCAGTGTGGTGTATCTATACATGGTAGTGGATGGTCCAGTGTGGTGTATCTATAGATGGTAGAGGATGGTCCTGTGTGGTGTATCTATAGATGGTAGAGGATGGTCCTGTGTGGTGTATCTATAGATGGTAGAGGATGGTCCTGTGTGGTGTATCTATATATGGTAGAGGATGGTCCTGTGTGGTGTATCTATAGATGGTAGTGGATGGTCCTGTGTGGTGTATCTATAGATGGTAGTGGATGGTCCTGTGTGGTGTATCTATAGATGGTAGAGGATGGTCCTGTGTGGTGTATCTATAGATGGTAGTGGATGGTCCTGTGTGGTGTATCTATAGATGGTAGAGGATGGTCCTGTGTGGTGTATCTATAGATGGTGGATTCGATGGTCCAGTGTGGTGTATCTATAGATGGTGGTAGGGATGGTCCAGTGTGGTGTATCTATAGATGGTGGTAGGGATGGTCCTGTGTGGTGTATCTATGATAGGTAGTGGATGGTCCTGTGTGGTGTATCTATAGATGGTAGAGGATGGATGTGGTGTATCTATAGATGTGTGGTGTATGTGGTGTATCTATAGATGGTAGATGGTCCTGTGTGGTGTATCTATAGATGGTAGTGGATGGTCCTGTGTGGTGTATCTATAGATGGTAGTGGATGGTCCTGTGTGGTGTATCTATAGATGGTAGAGGATGGTCCAGTGTGGTGTATCTATAGATGGTGGTCGGGATGGTCCAGTGTGGTGTATCTATAGATGGTAGAGGATGGTCCAGTGTGGTGTATCTATAGATGGTAGAGGATGGTCCTGTGTGGTGTATCTATAGATGGTAGAGGATGGTCCTGTGTGGTGTATCTATAGATGGTAGAGGATGGTCCTGTGTGGTGTATCTATAGATGGTAGTGGATGGTCCTGTGTGGTGTATCTATAGATGATTGTTGGGATGGTCCAGTGTGGTGTATCTATAGATGGTAGAGGATGGTCCAGTGTGGTGTATCTATAGATGGTAGAGGATGGTCCAGTGTGGTGTATCTATAGATGGTAGAGGATGGTCCAGTGTGGTGTATCTATAGATGGTGGAAGGGATGGTCCAGTGTGGTGTATCTATAGATGGTGGTAGGGATGGTCCAGTGTGGTGTATCTATAGATGGTAGAGGATGGTCCAGTGTGGTGTATCTATAGATGGTAGAGGATGGTCCAGTGTGGTGTATCTATAGATGGTAGAGGATGGTCCAGTGTGGTGTATCTATAGATGGTAGAGGATGGTCCAGTGTGGTGTATCTATAGATGGTAGAGGATGGTCCAGTGTGGTGTATCTATAGATGGTAGAGGATGGTCCAGTGTGGTGTATCTATAGATGTAGAGGTCCAGTGTGGTGTATAGATGGTAGTAGGATGGTCCAGTGTGGTGTGTGGTGTATCTATAGATGGTAGTGGATGGTCCTGTGTGGTGTATCTATAGATGGTAGAGGATGGTCCTGTGTGGTGTATCTATAGATGGTAGAGGATGGTCCTGTGTGGTGTATCTATAGATGGTCCTGTGTGGTGTAGAGGTAGTGGATGGTCCTGTGTGGTGTATCTAGAGATGGTAGTGGCTGGTACTGTGTTGTGTATCGATAGATGGTAGAGGATGGTCCTGTGTGGTGTATCTATAGATGGTAGGTCCAGTGTGGTCCTATAGTGTGGTGTGGTGTATCTATAGATGGTAGTGTGGTGTATCTATAGGATGGTCCTGTGTGGTGTATCTATAGATGGTAGTGGATGGTCCTGTGTGGTGTATCTGTAGATGGTAGAGGATGGTCCTGTGTGGTGTATCTATAGATGGTAGAGGATGGTCCTGTGTGGTGTATCTATAGTGGATGGTCCAGTGTGGTGTATCTATAGATGGTAGAGGATGGTCCTGTGTGGTGTATCTATAGATGGTAGAGGATGGTCCTGTGTGGTGTATCTATAGATGGTAGTGGATGGTCCTGTGTGGTGTATCTATAGATGGTAGTGGATGGTCCAGTGTGGTGTATCTATAGATGGTAGTGGATGGTCCAGTGTGGTGTATCTATAGATGGTAGAGGATGGTCCTGTGTGGTGTATCTATAGATGGTAGAGGATGGTCCAGTGTGGTGTATCTATAGATGGTAGAGGATGGTCCAGTGTGGTGTATCTATAGATGGTCCAGTGTGGTGTATCTATAGATGGTAGGGATGGTCCATGTGGTGTATCTATAGTGTGGTGTATGTGGTGTATCTATAGATGGTAGAGGATGGTCCTGTGTGGTGTATCTATAGATGGTAGTGGATGGTCCTGTGTGGTGTATCTATAGATGGTAGAGGATGGTCCAGTGTGGTGTATCTATAGATGGTAGTGGATGGTCCTGTGTGGTGTATCTATAGATGGTAGTGGATGGTCCTGTGTGGTGTATCTATAGATGGTAGAGGATGGTCCAGTGTGGTGTATCTATAGATGGTAGAGGATGGTCCAGTGTGGTGTATCTATAGATGGTAGAGGATGGTCCAGTGTGGTGTATCTATAGATGGTAGAGGATGGTCCTGTGTGGTGTATCTATAGATGGTAGAGGATGGTCCTGTGTGGTGTATCTATAGATGGTAGTGGATGGTCCTGTGTGGTGTATCTATAGATGGTAGTGGATGGTCCTGTGTGGTGTATCTATAGATGGTAGAGGATGGTCCTGTGTGGTGTATCTATAGATGGTGGTAGGGATGGTCCTGTGTGGTGTATCTATAGATGATGGTAAGGATGGTCCAGTGTGGTGTATCTATAGATGGTATGGATGGTCCTGTGTGGTGTATCTATAGATGGCAGTGTGGTGTATCTATAGATGGTAGAGGATGGTCCTATGTGGTGTATCTATAGATGGTAGAGGATGGTCCAGTGTGGTGTATCTATAGATGGTAGAGGATGGTCCTGTGTGGTGTATCTATAGATGGTAGTGGATGGTCCTGTGTGGTGTATCTATAGATGGTAGAGGATGGTCCTGTGTGGTGTATCTATAGATGGTAGAGGATGGTCCTGTGTGGTGTATCTATAGATGGTAGAGGATGGTCCTGTGTGGTGTATCTATAGATGGTAGAGGATGGTCCTGTGTGGTGTATCTATAGATGGTAGAGGATGGTCCAGTGTGGTGTATCTATAGATGGTAGAGGATGGTCCAGTGTGGTGTATCTATAGATGGTAGAGGATGGTCCAGTGTGGTGTATCTATAGATGGTAGAGTATGGGATGGTCCAGTGTGGTGTATCTATAGATGGTAGAGGATGGTCCAGTGTGGTGTATCTATAGATGGTAGAGGATGGTCCAGTGGGGTGTATCTATAGATGGTAGTGTGGTGTATCTATAGGATGGTCCTGAGTGTGGTGTATCTATAGATGGTAGAGGATGGTCCAGTGTGGTGTATCTATAGATGTAGTGGATGGTCCTGTGTGGTGTATCTATAGATGGTAGAGGATGGTCCAGTGTGGTGTATCTATAGATGGTAGAGGATGGTCCAGTGTGGTGTATCTATAGATGGTAGAGGATGGTCCAGTGTGGTGTATCTATAGATGGTAGTGTGGTGTATCTATAGGATGGTCCAGTGTGGTGTATGGTAGAGGATGGTCCAGTGTGGTGTATCTATAGAGGATGGTCCTGTGTGGTGTATCTATAGATGATGGTAGAGGTTGGTCCTGTGTGGTGTATCTATAGATGGTGGTAGAGGTTGGTCCTGTGTGGTGTATCTATAAATGATGGTAGAGGTTGGTCCAGTGTGGTGTATCTATAGATGATGGTAGAGGTTGGTCCAGTGTGGTGTATCTATAGATGATGGTAGGGGTTGGTCCAGTGTGGTGTATCTATAGATGATAGAGGATGGTCCAGTGTGGTGTATCTATAGATGGAAGAGGATGGTCCAGTGTGGTATATCTATAGATGGTAGAGGATGGTCCAGTGTGGTGTATCTATAGATGGTAGAGGATGGTCCAGTGTGGTGTATCTATAGATGATAGAGGATGGTCCAGTGTGGTGTATCTATAGATGATGGTAGAGGTTGGTCCAGTGTGGTGTATCTATAGATGGTAGAGGATGGTCCAGTGTGGTGTATCTATAGATGGTAGAGGATGGTCCAGTGTGGTGTATCTATAGATGGTAGAGGATGGTCCAGTGTGGTGTATCTATAGATGGTAGTGGGATGGTCCAGTGTGGTTTATCTAGAGTTGGTAGTGGATGGTCCAGTGTGGTGTATCTATAGATGGTAGAGGATGGTCCAGTGTGGTGTATCTATAGATGGTAGAGGATGGTCCAGTGTGGTGTATCTATAGATGATAGAGGATGGTCCAGTGTGGTGTATCTATAGATGGTAGAGGATGGTCCAGTGTGGTGTATCTATAGATGGTAGAGGATGGTCCAGTGTGGTGTATCTATAGATGGTAGAGGATGGTCCAGTGTGGTGTATCTATAGATGGTAGTGGATGGTCCAGTGTGGTGTATCTATAGATGGTAGAGGATGGTCCAGTGTGGTGT